TCACCTGCCTTCCTCACTGGAGCATCCATGGAGCACTCAGCCAGGAGTGGCTGGGGAAGCCTCTTGTCCTGCTTTTCTCCTCCTGGATATATCAACTCCTGTATCCATACCCATCTATCTGCTTATTAGTGGTAAGTTTAAAAGCTTCACTGTCAAGAATTCTTTTCTCACATATTTTTCTTTTTAGTTAATACTCACCAGAAGGTATTTTTCCATTGATTTTTATTTATTTTTAGATAAAGTGGAAGGAAGGGAGGGAGGGAGAGAGAGAGTTTAGAAACATTGATGTCAGAAAGACACATAGATTGGTTGCCTCTTTCACAACCCTGACCAGGGCTGGGGATCGAACCTGCAACCCAGGTACATACCCTTGACCAGAGAATTGAATCTGTGACCCATCAGTCCTTGGGCGGATGCTCTAACTGCTGCACCAAAGAGGTCAAGGCTCTTTTCTCACATCTTGATGTCCACTTCTTATATTATTTGATTTATGTTTCAACTGCATAGAGCTGTGACCCTATTGCTTTCTAATTTTTCTCTTCCTAATAGGTGTTGCACAAACACCTGTTGGAAGTGTGACTCTGCATGCATTGACTTTCAAAGTGGTAGAAGGAGTCTGGGTTGGGAGAAAGGACAAAGTACTGAGAGGAAGGGAGCAGCAACATTTTGGAGCCAAAGGTAGAAAAAACATATAATGCATATGTGCATGTACACACACACACACACACACACACAAACACTATACTACACTGTCTTACTAGTGTCATTCTGTTTCTCTGCTGACATCAATAATGTAAAAGTTGCCTTCATATCTAATCTGGCTAGCACAAATCACAAGAACCTTAAGAAATACTACCTCTAGTGACAATTTTTTAACTTCAGAATTGCAAAAGAAATAAAAATCATCTCTGAGGTATTTAAAGAACAGGATAGGTCTCACCCTGATAGTTGAAATGTCCTCTTGTGTAAAGTGGTGTGATGATGACTTTTCAAAGTCTTGCTACTAAATATTTGATTCTGAGATCACTTAGAACAAGAGAAAAATTCCTACTGCAGGCCAGGTTTAAAAATGTAATTATATAGCCCTGGCTGGTTTGGCTCAGTGGTAAGAGCGTCACCCACGGACCAGAGAATCCCACTAAGGGCATGTACCTCGGTTGCATTTTGTCCCCGGCCCCAGTTGAGGTCATGTGGGTGGCAACCACTCGATGTTTCTTTCTCACATTAATGTTTCTCTCTCTCTTCCTCCATCTCTCCCTCCCGGTCTATCTGAAGATAAATGCAAAAATGTCCTCGGGTGAGGATAAAAAAAAAAAGTAATTGTAGTTACACCATGGCAAAAGTCATAGGTATCCAGTAATCATCTGATTCATTCTTATCCATTGGTCAATTACACCAAGTGATATAAAGGGCAGAATTTTAATTGCAGATTTGGGGGCAAAGTTCTCACAAACTCTGCCCCTGGCTGCACGTGCATTGGCTCTGGAGGAGAGAATAAAACACTTAAACACAGGTGACTTAGAAGGGTGTGGTGAGTGATGCAAGAACTTAGAAATATTTTAGAGCTACAAAAATAGAAAGGAGTTTTAAGCACAGATAATTGTAGACTCAAAGTGATGAGGAGCCTCAGAGATCACTGTCAAGGTAACAAAGTTTAAAACTAACACAAAGGACATTTAATTGTAAAGCTTTCTAGCTGTAACATAAGCTTAATTTCTAAGAAGTTAAACTTATTGCATATATCTTTAGTTTAGCTTTTAGAACTCCCAAAGCAACATTTTAAATCCGGTCTTTATTTGTAGGAAGAAAAGAGTCATAGTAACATTTTAAGAATATTTTCTTTGTCATGAGTTTCCAGTAAACAGACAAGTTTACTTTTCCATTTAAATCTTCCCTATATTCACACAGGTCTTGCGAGTGATTATGCAGATATAAGAAGTAAAATAATCATGTAGTCTCATAGCTAGATCTAAAATAAATGAAGGTAGAAATTATGTTTAGTACTTATGTGTAGTGTTGAACTTGTTTCCTATCAGGGAATTCTATGTTTATGGATTAACGATAGTGTTTTCTTCTAGACAGATGTTTACATTTGTTATCTTTCATGGTAATGCCAACCTGTTCATCACTGCTGCTTAGGATGTTAGTCATGTGTTTATCTGTGGTCAAAAGAACCAGCGTATGACTTGACAAGGTTTTCCTCTCCCACGGAAAGGCTATCTTCTGCCTCATGGCTATAAACCTGAGCCATCTGACCAAGCCATCCTTTCGTGAATATTTCTGGTCAATTTGATCTGTTTGCTGCATTTGCGTTCCAGATACTCTTAGTTGCAATTGGCTTCAGTATGGACAATTAGCTTGAATATATCATCTTACATACTCAAAATACTTTTTTAAAAAAGTGGCTGATAGGGAGACACAAAGAACATTGAATTAGCAGTCAGTGCCTGGTCTAAAGTAGGCATTCCATTAAAAATAATAGTTTTAAAAAACAGATGAAGGGATTCTAACCCAGCTCTGTTGCTGTTTATCTAAGAGTACTTGAGCAAGTCGCTTTATCACTTTGGGCTAATTTCTTTAACTGTTAAAACCCTAGTTCACTGACTTCAAGTTACCAAGATGACTTTCCCTAAAGAATTATCACCCTTGCTGGGCAACTGAGTCATCTAGGGGAGCTTCTGCAACTACTGATGTCCAGACTCCACTTCTAGAGATCGGGTTATAATTGGTCTGGGGATGGGGCCCAGACATTTGAATATTTTAAAGTTCCCATGGTGATTCTATTGCACAACTAGGGTTGAGAACCACTGCCCAGAAGAAATCTTTCTAGTATCCTTTTCCTCCCCATGAAAGACTAATTCATCTGCTTACACGGCCAAAGTCTGATAGTTGTTCCAGGTTTCTCTGTTGGATAGTGCTACAGGGTTTAAGATTTGACCTGTCCTCCATCGGATCGTAGTGTGTGCTGGTCAGCCTTGTGGAATGCTATCTAGGGGTAGACAGCCCCTGCAGGGGAGTCTGTGATTTGGTTGGTTATATTCAATTTAAGAACAATATAAGCAGCTCCATTCTGATTCGATAACACTGATATTTAGATCCCTTTCTCCAGTCTATGTTAATTTCTTAATAGATTTCGAATTCAGAGGAGTAAGAGTGTAATCCACACCAACTTGACCAAATCTAGCCCTACCTCACAGTTGTCATGAGGTTTAAATAAAGTAGGTTTTGAAATGTGCTTTGTAAACAGTAGAGCTACCCAGATGTTTACTCTTATCTAAGGTTTCCCAACATCTAAAATTTTGAACACAGAGATGTCGTGCAGACAGCATCACTTTGATGCCAATTGACCTATTACAGTGCAGCACCAATTCTGTTACTGATTTCCTATCAATAGAGTAGTAAAGAAAGAGAGGGGCATATACTATCGGAGAAACAGCACTGAAGTGGGAATCCAGAGGCTTGGATTCAAGATTTAACCATGTGAAGTCTTGAAAGGTCTCCCTGGGCTTAAATTTTTTCATCTCGCAAGCGAACGACACAATTCCAGACCTTTAAAGTTTATTCTAGCTCTAATGTTAGGGAATGCTGATGGAATTTTCCATAAAGCTGGCAGTGACTGATGTGATGGGAAACATCCAATTCTCACATATCCCCTGAAGCCTGTGGCTTCCTCTTTAATTTCTACATAATTAAACAAGCCATTAAAACAACAATGTTCTTCTGACACTTGTTCTAAAGACAACATCCCCAACTGGGCAGATTAGGGCAGTTTTAGCCTCAAGAAAGCAAAGAGATCAGTTACACCCAATGTTTTCTCTCTTGTGCCCTCAAGTTTCTGAGCCTATGCATACTAAGAAGCTTTCCTATACTAAGAGGGAAGTGTTGAGCTTCTTCCACCTCAGCCAATTTGAAACATTGGCTGTTTCACAGTGCCTCTCCTATCCACTCTATTTTACCTCAACTCCTAACCAACCACAATATTTTTCCAAATTTAGAAAAATGTCAGCTTTCTAGAGTCACTAAAATAAGGGCACTAAAGAACAATACTAGCCCAGCTGGTGTGGCTCTGTGGTTGAGCATTGACCCATGCACCAAGAGGTCACTGGTTCAGTTCCCGGTCAGGGCACATGCCTGGGTTGTGGGCTCTCTTCCCAGTAGGGGAATGTGCAAGAGGCAGCCTATCAATGTTTCTCTCTCATCGATGTTTCTATCTCCCTCTTCCATCCTCTCTCTCTAAAAATCAACAAAAACATATTTAAAAGAACAATGCAAAATACTATAATATTAATGTTGCTCAGTTAGTACTATACTACTTTGTGTTAAAATTGTTTGATTCTGGACTACGTGCAAGAAGTAACTGACCTTAAGTTAGCAAAATGACCTCACCAATTTCTTATGAGAGCATGCATCCATAAATCTAAGACTGTGAAAGCAGAAGGAACTCTAGTAGAAAGGAATCTGGTATAATTCATCTTTTATCCCTTGCACCTAGCACAGAGAGTAAATGTTACTATATGCTTAATGCATGTATTCATGTACTGAGACAATTCAATAAACAGATGAGCAATGATATAGCAAGTAATCAGGCACATAACAATATTATAAGGATTTTAGTTTTTAAAAAAATAAGTGCTTGTCGATTAAAACTAAAATACGATTACTTTTCCAGAGTATAGAATCAAATTACAACACACTTTTAATACAATGTTTGATATGGCAAAATTCACAGAGGGTTAGTTCATATAAGATCACATTCTTTTCTGTGTCCTGGGGGGAGGTGGGGGCAAGGGGAGAGAAGGTACAGAATTGGAGTGGCTTATTCTTTTTAGAGCATTTACCACTACAAGATAACACAGACATTTGATCTAATAAACTGCATCTTGTCCTGAAAATAAAATTTAATTATTGAATCTTGTTGCTGAATTACATTTATTGTTGCCATTAAGTTTTAAATATCTATATACCTATATAGATATTCTTAATTCACAAGATTTCAAATACAGAAAAATTTAAAAATCAGATAAAAATAACTTGACTAAAGTATATGTATTTTCAACATTCTGTTTATACTTTAAAGTCCCAAACTTCATAAAAAGTTAAAATACTGATTATTTAAAATATTTCTCCCATTATGCTTTTGTTTCTCATGAATACAAAGTGGGCTCAGAAATGCAAAACATTAACTGTAGGCACACAGGTCTCTCCACAATGGTTGTATAAAGTGACCACAGAGTTTAATATTCTTTCCCAATAATACATCAGTATCAACCATTTAAGTTAGTGAAAGGATTCTCTTAAAACATAATTTTCAGACAGAAGTATTAACCAATTTGGTAATGTTTTTTTGTAGTATCAGCAATAGAGATGTCAATCTTATCCTAGTTTGTTTCCTTGACTATTATTTAGAATAAAAGGATTTTATTCAATTTATTCACAACCAGTAGTAGTTCTGGTGAATGCAGACAGTCTCTCTAGGAACCATGCTTTCTGGTATGATATAAAAAACCTTCATTAAATTAAATACATTTTAATATTTACAAGATTGAATACTGTCTCTGGTGATAAACTGAGACAGATCAATACTAGATAAGCCTAGTAGCACCCAAATCAATATTACCCTGAAAATGTTAAATTATATGCAATGTGTGTTGTTAGTGAACTATTATTTTCTACATAATTCTTGGCAAATATGGGCCAAGGAGAGAGAAAAAGAATGAAGATATTTACATGCAAAAATATTAAAACACTCCCTTCAACCTAGTACTATAGAGAAGCCACTCACAAAATATGCTAGGCCTCATGGCAGTAATCTTTCTATGATGTTATTAATTATGAACTTGGTTAGGAACTGCTATCACCCCTTAGTGGTAGCAGATACATTTTTTTTATGAAATAATATTAAAAAGAACATACCTCTTTACTGATTTTATTTCAGGATACTCTATCCTTATAGCTTTGACCTTCTGAGAGGATGCAGGCTTGGGATTTTCTCTCCAGAAGCCCTAGGCTCAGATATGAGGTCTTATTTAGGAATCCCTTAGGATCATAGTGTTTCTTCCTCAGTCAGATGCAAAGGATGACAAGACTGTCACAAAAATCTTATTAAATGACATAATTCCCCAAACTCTGGGTAAAGAGTGGAGGATTTAAGGCACACACTTCTGAGCACAAATGAAGACACTGCTTCCTTTGAAACGATCATGACTCTAATGAAAATACAAAATTGCACGCTATTAAATACATCCCATTAATGTTAGAGAGTATAGTGCTTAATACAGATACAGTGGAGGCCAAGCACTTCTTTTCTATAGAGAGGACATCAGAACTATGTACTGCAGAGCATGCTGCCGAACAACCTATACAATAGCCTTTACTTTTGTTAAACGCCCAGCTCACTATTTTGGACTAAATGGGGAGTAGTATCTATACTGCCATATTAAAAATCTCTGTTTTGGATAAGAAGGGAGTCATTTAGGTAAAAATTAGGTATTTCTAAATAAATGCAGGTTAAATAATTTCATATACACATACTATAACTGATATAGTTTTGCCTAGTCTTATTATTTAGAATAGCTTGTTATATAAAATGCTTTAAAAGATCAAACTTTATTTGCAGTAATTATGTTTTGTGGTTTTTTTTTACATAGTAAAAAGGTAAACATTAACCAAGACTGTACCACAAATTCCAGGTTAATGGGGTATTACTTTCTCCCTCGCTGGATTGGCTATAAGAAAATCCTATTATTTGCAGGCCCTTCATTACGGAGGAATGTGGAAAATATCCTAATAGCAGAAACTAAAGAAATCAATGAGAAAGGCTTTCAGATTGTAGCCAGGGGGGCACTTAATTTTAAAACAATTCACTATTACTTTAAAGAACTTTCTTTGCTCAGGGATATCCCTGGTGACTTCTATTTCCTTGCCCTGTGTTGCTTTAAAAGATTCCTTTCATTTTACACTCCTGCAATGAGCCTTTTCCTTCTCATCTTTTGTTTAAAATTGATATTTACAATGTTTGGTGGAATTGGTCTGCAGTATTACACTGCACTAGTGTAAATTGCCTTTAACTTTTATTTACATCAATACAAAAATTTCTCAAATTTGAGGTATAATTTACAATGCAAATCTTTAAAAAATTTTGTAGCTTAAAGTTCCAGGTATCAAGAATGTTAGAATAAGAGACTCTTCTGGCACACATTCAAGAAGTAAAATATGAATGGTAACCCTTAGCTCTACCTCCACTACTCAAATACAGGGAATACTGAGAACCCTGACTAGCTTGTCCTTAGGTCAGCCACTCTCTGGCACCATGAAAGCAAAATACTGTATTAGCTAATCGTCCTATTTCCTAAAACCCTAGGACTATTTCACAACTCAATTTGGAGACACTGAGAACTGTGTCTTTATTCTAGGAATAAAGATTACTAAGAACGTCCAACGTATCCATTTCAATTTCAAATATTAACTCTTAAGAATTTCATTCCAAACACATTAATGATTTGGTTAAGTAGTTTTATCCACATAAGTGTTGGTCACAAAATTATCCAAGTGGAGATAAAAATACTTATTTCATTATGAAAATTAGTGCAGATTCTATAAATCTCAAAAAATGTAGTTAAAGTTTATTAACTATAGTTTAACCACAGATATGTGATTTAACTAGAGATATAGACTATCATTTTAAATACATAGTCAGCTATATGATTCGGGAGCTGATTATCTGGTTTCTGGAATATCAAGTCCCTTATATCTCACTTTCTGGTTTAATTTCTACAGTCACCAGTTACGAAAAAAGGGAAGGTGGAGGAAAACAAGCAAACAAACGGAAAATCTTAAAAATTATTAGCAGCTCTTGTAAAAGGTTAAAAGGTAAACTTAACAGCTATAGTTAAAACTAAAAGCTATAATGCAGATTTCAGTAAAAGTCACCAAACAGCTGGATACTGATCATAGGTTTTCAAATATACAGAGAACCATAGCAAACATTTTGCTGAAAGATATTTTGCTGAATGGTATGTACATTATATAGCAAAGGCTAGAAACTGTTTCTGGTTAGACCTATTTACATGTGTAAAAGCTCAATCAGTATATCTTCTTTCTGGGAAGCTGGAAAGAGGTATGTAAGGTTAATTACCATATTTACATACCTACCCACTTATTTTACAAAGATTAACTCTTAGAAGATTACTCAAGCTGTTACTTAGGTCAAGCTGGTAATGAATTTGAAAGTAAATTGAAGCATTTAAGCCAGAAAATTTGGTCCTATTGAGTATCTTACTATGAATACATTATTTTCTATGAAAATATTTTATGTATTTAAACTAAGTCATTTACACAACATGTTAAGCTTGCTACTCATGTACTGCCTAAGCCATCTTTACCATTCATAACTTTGTGGTATGTAGCTTGCTGTGGCTCAAATGGAGAAGTAAAAAAAAATTCTTTATTACTTCCATTGTAAGATATACTCACCCATGTACTACTTTGCTAGGCAGTAGATATATACTAGATTACTTCCACAGAGATAGAAAATTTCCGAATCAAAAGGAAAAAAGTATCTTACATTATAAAAAGGGAAAGGGATTTACTTTATAGCAGCGTTTCACAACTGCAGTCATGAAACTCTCATGTTTCATGAATTAACATATAATAAACAAACCCTTCACTATCCTAAAGTATATGTTCTTCTGAAATAAAAAATAATATATATGACAGAAAGCTAATGCATATAACATTATTATTATTATTCTAAAACAATGTGTTTTAAGAAATGATGTGCCCATTCATGAATGCCAGCAGGGAGACTGTCTTCTGTTCCAACGCACTTCTGACCTGTGTATTATTGCACAGGTAACACTTACCAACAAACCATCATGCTATTATAGGTTAATGATCTAAGATTGCTAGTATGTGTTTGCATTTTATTTTATAGTATCAGCTTATAATTGGACCATTATTCAATTTTTATTGCATATTAAGCTAGTTAATAAAAATCTGGTCATTAGCAAATAATCTGTGAAAGCATTTTTCTGCAATACTTTAATATTTGTATGTTATCAATACATTATTTTCAAAATATATTTCATGGTTAAACTGGTTTTGAAAATTGTTCTAGTGTGTACAAACACAATGACTTTTGCCCCCAATTTCATTTAGTTATTGTCAAGTTTTTCTAGTGTCTCTTTAAAATGTAGAGAAAGTTACATTTCTGTACACACAGGCAATGGTGTCATACCTGACTGTTAACATTTTAAGTCATTTTCTCATTCCTTTAAAGCAAGATATAAAGCAGCCTTTCTGGCTTACATCTCTTTTCTGTCAAAATAAATCTGACCAATTTTTCAATCAAAAACTCTTTTATTCTCCAATGAACAACTGATCAAGACTGTGGCCTCCCATTACATGTGAAAGTGACTTTCTAGGGGATTACTTTGTGTTTAAACAAAAATGAAGTTAAGGTGGCCATGAGCCCAGATGTCAGATATACAGCTGTTTACCTAGGTCTGTTGAAGCATAATTCAAAGTGTTCTGCATAGTATGACAGCTACAGGCTGCTCTGGTACCATTTCTTGAATACAGTTCTAAATCCTAGCTAGAACTTAAGGCACTATAACAGTCATTGCTGGGTTACCTAAGGGTAACAATAATCACATAAAATAAAGGAGCAGAACTGAACAGTTTAAAACACCACATGAAGTTATATCCCTTACTTTACCAGTTAGTAGGTCAGAAAGGTTTAGGTCCTATGTAACCATCTGTGAGCTCATCTGAATAGCTCTGTAATTTAGACATATGGCAACAGATGAAAGGAAGGGTAGTCCTATTATGGTACAGTGTTCAACCTACACCCAAGGACAACTCTGGGAATAAGTACAGCTTTGACCATTTCTTTCTTCATCTCAACTGTCACCACTCATGGTGTATCACAGCACTGCTCCTCAGAATGTTCTAGCCTGCTGAGGGAGTTACACAAAACTTGAGTGAAAAGTGCAAACAAGCAGCCACATTTGAAACTGCTATTCAGAGTGAATTACATTTAAAAAAATCCAAACATGGAACTGGATTCATTCCTGCTGAATGGGTGGATGAAACATAAAATCTTTTACATCATCTTTGACTCTTTCATTGACATTCAAAATGGAAGATAATGTTTCCAGTGAACTTCATAGTCTATTTTCTTTTCTAACCATCTTTTCTCACTCAGTCTTTTAGTGCTTCACTCCACCCCGCACTCTTTTCAACCAAGAAGAACTTTCTGCATCCTGTGTGCGGCAACACTAATTTCATCCTCCGAGTCAGACTCGCTCTGGGACGTGGAGCTGTGAGAGGCGGAGCTGCATGGTGAAGAGCACTCTGGCGAACACAGGTAGTGCATCAGGGGTAGGCGGTACTTCCCACAGAAGTCCACAAATTTTATCTGTCTGACACAGCAGTCAAAGTAGACTCCTGGAGAGAGGGAGGAATAAGTATAGAGTAATCATTACAAAGCAAAAAGTCAGTTCCTCTTGCAACCATTTCTCCAGCATTCTGAAGCAATGCCATGTACTGTCTTCTCTTTTGTGAATCTCAAGCTGAACTAGTAGATATTTCTACAGCATTTTATAGCTATTTATAGCGATTTGGCTGCAAAGAGAAGGCCAGGAGATTTATCTTAAAGGGAGCTGGTATTAAAGTACACTGTTTATTTATCTTGTTTTCTCTGGGTGATTTGGAGAACAGTGCCTGATAGAGATTATAAAATACCTACAGCACCCTTCCTCCACCAACCAGCAGCTCCTTAGTACTACTCTACAGTCAAGAAACTTTAAAAAGTCCCCAACACTTCAAAATTTGCAGAAAGGGGACTACTTTTGGTACCTCTGTTCTTATGTATTGAGAAGCAAAATGAAAAGAAACAAAATGCTATCGTACATTTCCACAGGTTCTAAATCTACAGGCTTCAGAACTATTTCACTAATGGTCTCATAGTGTTTTCAGGCAACTATATATTATTAGGTAGAGTGAAACTCGTATTCAGCTCTCGTCATTCCTAATTTTGATTCCATAGTGCTCCTGAACTGTGGCCCTTCAGCTAAGTAAAAACACAGTTAGAGCTGAGAGAAAAGCAGAGGTTGCTGTATCTCAGGGTTCTAGCTGCTCCTTGAAGACACTGCATATCTCTAACCCAGGCTAATGCAGTGACTGCAGTATCACTGGAATATCTGGAACTCAGGGTCCTATCTTCTCTCTAGAGAGGAATGTCAACCTCTACACCTTACCTAAGTTTCCTCTGGCACCAAGTACTCTGTGTGTGTCACATAAAAGACCAAAATAACAAGATGTGGTCCAAACAAAGGAGAAATAATAATTTCTACTTATTTTTTTCTTATACTTTCCCATTAACTTTCTAATATTTTTGATCCTACAGTAAGTATAACTCATAGTTTAAGAAAGGAAATTCAAGATATATTACTTTGAACAATTAGAAAAGTAGATAAATTCAATAAATTGGTCAATCAATTTTTATTTTTCCTTTATAAATATTAGAGAGAGAGGAAGGGAGAGGGAGACAGACATGAAAATATTGATTGGCTGCCTCCTGCATGCCCCCCACTGGGGACTGGGCCCACAACCTGGGCAAGTGCCCTGACTGGGAATCAAACCGGTGACCTCTTGGTGCATGGGTCGATGCTCAACCAGTGAGCCATGCCAGCTGGGTCAATCAATATTTTTATCATACCCTCAAAATGTGTTAGCTTCTTGAAAACAGGTGGAAATAACAAAATAAAGCATTATAGAATTACCATGAGCTAAAATAGTACAACATTATCTTGCTGTTTGTAAGATCTCAGACTACACAAAGAAAATATCTCACAAAATACAAAATTTTTTGTTTGGAGTTCAATAACTAATGAATCTGAGAAGGAAAAGTGTCAATAGTTCATTTTATATATTATCTCAAATTTTAAGTAATAATTTTAAATGTATTTTTGTTTCTAAGATAAATAACACATCAGTATACTGAATAAGTAATTCAGAGACAACTAAGAGAGAAGAGAGAATTCCTATAGAGGTCCCTTTCCAGAAAAGGATAGATTTAAAGAAGAGATTAGATAGAGACTATGAAGCCTGGTGTGAATGTTGCCCACGGCCACTGTCAAAGCCAACTGAGGAATGAGGACCAGAGAAAAGCGTAAGCACTTCTAATGCGGCACAGCACAGCAACCTCTACTTCTAAGAGTGAGTGGCTAGTAAGGGCCCAGAGTATTGTTCTTTTTGAACTAATAGTCTCTTTTTCCTCTTTTGACAGTCTTTGAGGAACTTAAAATCATTTCTCCTTTTTAAACCTTACAATGGTTTCAAGATATGATGGGACGTCCAGGAAAAATCTCTGGTCATCATTCTGTATCATTTCCTCAGCACCTACATTTATATGACAACAGTAAAAACCTTTCTATATCCCCATCAAATTGCATTTTTTAAGAAGTAGTCTTTTATGAGGGAGCCAGAATAAAATGACCTGCTATCAGTCACCAACTCCTCCATACCCCTGGCATTCCAGGCCCTTCATAACCTGGTCTCAATGTATCTTTTATAAACTCTTTTCTCTCATTACTCCTCTAATTGTACATTTGAGTCAAATTATTATTCATCCAACATTCTGCCCCACAATGCTGTTTTATCTCCAATTTTATTCTTTCCATCTGAAGAGTTTCTAATCTGCAATCTTACCCTATCAAAATCCAACTCATACTTAAAGAACCATCTCACCTTTTCCAGATCTAATTAAATGTATTCTCTCCCTCCTCTGATTTCCAATACTATAGTGAATTCCTACTTCACTCTGCTTTACATTATAGCATTTGTTTAATTCTCTCCAAATGCTCTAAACTCAAGAAATTTTGAACCATGGATTTAAAGAATACAAAATTACAGGGTACATTTTGAAATTGGTACACATTCTGCCCATTCTCATATATCTTGAATCATACTCTATAAAGGTACCTGATACTCAGAATGGTGTCTTTAAAAACATGTCCCTCACATAGACAACAATGCTGGGGACGGGGTGAGAGGGGACTTGGGAGGAGGGTGTTAATGGGGGGAAAAGGAGAAACATCTGTAACAAAAAAAAATTAATAAAAAATTAAAATTAAATAAATAAAAACATGTCCCTCAAATAAATATGAAAGGTAGCTAAGCATTTTAGAGATTCTAAGCAATGAGGACTTATGCTTCTTTTGTGTTTCCTCTCATTTTATAAATCTTATGACAGTTCCAAAAGAGGATGAGACTTTCTGGGTGTTTTCCTTATGTATGAATTGTAAAGAACTATGAAAAGAATAGAAACAAAAGAAAAAAAGGAAATCCAGAGCAGGTGAAATGTCGTTAGTTTCTGGTAAAGGGGTGAAAGGATAAGGAAAACAGAAACAAAGACTGACTGCCTTTCTCTGAAAAAAGACAGCTAATGAAAACAACACTTAGATCATCAATTTTATTTATTCATTAATTAATTGATTTTTAGAGAGAGAGGAAGGGAGAGGGGGGGAGAGAGAGAAATATCAATGAGAGAGAACATCGATTGGCTGCCTCCTGCATGCTCCCCACTGGGGATTTGGCCTACAACCTGGGCATGTGCCCTGACTGGGAATTGAACCGGTGACCTCTTGCTGCATGGGTCAATGCTCAACCACTGAGCCACACCGGTTGGGCTAGATTATCAATTTTAAAAATAGCTAAATGAATGGGAAACAAGGACACTAAATTGACTTACCTCCACACTTTGGGTTTGGGCAATTGCTGGCTAAACTCAAGTATCTAAGAAGATTCCCAGGAAGATCACAGGGAGTGTAGGAAATATTTCTAATTTTAATGGTCCGTGCAGCTAATTCCAGGAGAGTTGGAGGGTCGTAGGTTAAATCTCTAACAAAACGAACAACCAACGGATTTCCTCGCAAACTCAATTCTTCCAAATGAATAAGGTTGAGGATCTCTCGAGGCAGGTATGTCAGCAAATTATTGTGAAGACTGAGGGATCGAAGTGAATGCAACCTAGAATTAATGTAGTACAAAAACCAATGGGATTACTAGCAGAAAAGTTAAGTGAAGAACATGATTTTCCCATAAGAACGAGCACTTAAGATTAAGGTCAATGGAAGTAAAATTTAAAAGTGCTGAAACTAGATCAGAGTGCAGATTTGTAAATGTCATGAAGGCCTTTTGCCTATGGAATCGTAGAAAGTTTAGAATACTTAAAAATATTATGATGTGCTAGATGAAATATAAATGCTAGATTTAAAGATATGGTGGGAGTTTTATCATTCAGATAACCAAAAAGGAAAGATTCTAAATGCAACAGGAATCAAGATTCTTCACATTATCTTATTAGGACAGGAATGATTCATATCAAATATAAAATCAATAAACTCCCATAAAACCTGGGAAATCTTTGCCAAATGAATACTCTTATTTTTGATTACAGAAAACGGGCTATACAAATATTGTGAGGAATAAACCAGAGATTTTAAAAGTAACATTAAAAATAAGCAACACCATTCACGGCAAACCTCAGAACTGTAATTACCATGTATATATCTAATTCTTTTCTACATATAAAACATGTGGGCGGATACCAAAACAGTAATTCCTGAGCATGTATCTCTATGTATATACATAAACTGCCTGAATTACTCACTGTGAAAGCTGAGGCGGCACACTTTGGATTCTGTTGTCACATAATACCAAGTAATTTAGAGAAGGCAGATTTGCTAATTCTGGTGGAATTTCTTTGATGAAGTTTCCTCCAAGATATAAACACTCTAAACTGCAAAGATAAATAAACAAAAACAAAAAGTAAATAAACGAAAGCTAGATAAGATACCCCATTGCCTTTATTACAATGGACACATTTCATTTATTCATTCAGCAAATGTTTTACTTATGATTTGCTATGTGCTGAAGCTTACAAGTAAGCAGAAAAGACAAACCAATATTAGACAATATTATCGATACTACCTACTGGTTTTAATTTTGTTAGTATTTATTTCATTTAATCCCAGCTTTACCATTTACCAATGTAATAATTTGAGCCAGTTACTTAATCTCATTATGCTCATTTCCTCTTCTTTAAAATGGAATAATATTAGTATATATCATGTAAAGTGCCTAGTCAACAAGTATGAATCAGACACCTACCATGCACCATTCTATGGAATATAGTGCAAATAAGACCAAGTACTTGACCTTAAGTAGCTTACATTCTAGTGAGGGAGACAGACAATAAATCAGTGAATTTGTGTATATTTTGCCAGATAGCTTTAAGGGCTATGAAGAAATAGGAAGGTAATCAGACGTTGATGAAAGTGATATTCCTGATCAGGTGGTCATAAAAGGTTTCCTGTAGAGGATGACATCTGAATGGAGATCTGAATGAAATGACTGAGTACAAATCCCTGTGTTGTAAAAGAACACCACAACCAGTGTGGGTAGATCAGGGAGATAGAGGCAGGGCAGTGACAATCACACAGGTCAGAGAGGTAGCCTAGGAAGGCCAGATCAGAGGGTCCTTCAGACATTAGTAAGGACTTGGAATTTTATCAAGTAGTGTACTCTTTACAAATACCCCAATACATTAAAAGTAAACAGATAGAAAAAGATATACCAAGCGAATTTCTACCATTTCACATCTGGACTACTACTACATTAGCTTCCAGTCTGGTCTTCCTGCTTCTACTCTTCCCATCACACTCTCCTCTCACTCCAGCAGCTGTTTTCCACACAACAGACAAGTTATCCTTCTAGAGCACCGATTTTCAATCAGTGTGCTGCAAGAAGTTTTACACCCTGGCCGGTTTGGCTCAGCGGTTGGAGCGTCGGCCTGAGGACCAGAGAGTCCCGGGTTTGGTTCCAGTTCCCGCTAGGAGCATGTACCAAAAAAATAAATAAATAATAAGAAGTTTTAAAACATATAATACCTATTTAGTCAGGGGCACTGACCTCTTTTCCCTTAGCCTGTCAAATAAAAAAGCGTCAATAGCCATTCGGTGTGAATGAATCCAAGTTATACCTATTTTTTGTTGTTGTGTTGGATAACCTGAAATATATTTTTTGGTGTGCTGCAGAATTTTAGTAAGTAGTTTGTGTGTGCCATGAGATGAAAAAGGTTGAAACTCGTTGTTCTCGAATGTAACACAAGTACGTCCTTTAGAGATTCTTTCAGCAAGGACCCACTATGGTTGTTAATCTCGGAGGCCTGTGTCTCTAATATTTTTATTTTTTCCCACACTCTGGAGTAACAAACAGCTTGGCTGGGCATTAAATTATAGATTGACTGTTCCTTTTATTAGCACTAGGAAGATACTGCTCCATTATCTTATTTCAGCCAGTATTATTATTGTTCCTTTGTAAGTATTCTGTCGTTGTTGTTTTTAATCATGAGCTTCTAGGATCTTTTTTCTTTCTTTCTTTTTTTTTTTTATCCTCACCCGAGGACATTTTTCCATTTTTTTTTGTTCAGATAGAGCGGGAGGGAGAGGGAGGAAGAGAGAGAGAGAGAGAGAAACATCAACGTGAAAGGTACACATCTAGTGGCTGCCACCAGCACAACCAACCAGGGCCGGGGACAAACTGCAACCGAGGTACATGCCCTTAGCGGGAACCGAACCCGGGTCTCTCTGGACCGCAGGCCGACACTCTAACTGCTGAGCCAAACCAGCCAGGGCGGATCTTTTTTCTTTATTTAACCTTATTGTTCTAAAATTTTGTGTGTCAAGATATCAGTTTAATTGTGGGAAATTATTGGCCACTGTTATTTTAAACACTGCCTTTCTTATGTACTCTCTATTCTCTTTCTAGAATTCCTACTCAATAGCAGTGGAACTTCAGAATCAATTCTCCATGTCTCCTAACATTTCTTTCATACTTTCCAGTTCTTTATCTCTTTGTGCTACAAGCTATCATTCCACCTACTGAGTTCATAATTATATTTTTTCATTTCTAGAAATTCTAATTGGGGTTTTCATAACTATCAATTTTTAAACTTCTTATTCTTGTTTTATTGATGAAGTTCCCATCTTTACCTCTCTGAAGTTAGGAAACAATCTTATTTTAAAGTCCTTTGTAGATTATCTTATTACATGTATTTTCGAGGTGTAATTTCTTCCATTTGTTGAATTTCTTATCTGTACTTCATAATCTCACTTTCCTTGATGTGTGGTGATTCAAAGTGATGTCATTTAAAAAATATATTAATAACACTTTTTCTATTTCTGATTGTGTAAATCTTTTACATTTATACTGCTTAGTAAAAGCAGACAAGTTTAATCCCAACATGTTAATGGTTTGTCTTTCAAATATTGCCTGTATCAAAAATCAATTATCTGTATATGAGACTGAATTATCCTACATGTAAATAAATGTTTAAGGACTGGTTTAAAAACTTCCATGCAGGATTTTTTGGTCTTAACAAAAATGGTCTAAGTTAATGCTCAGTTATTCAGAAATCTCTATTTTTGCAATGATTAGAGTTACTAGAATTAGAATAGAAAATCTGGAGCCCCCAAAACAGAAACTACCCTGGAAAAAGAATTATTTTATGAGAAGATTATCTAGGAAAAAAATTAGCAAACTTGAAAGTCTTTTTATAATGGATTCAATAGTTAAATAACAACGTGTATTACAGTCTACCAAAGGAGAAAAGACAGTGAATAAAGGAGACAATGAGTGAGAGCAAAGTTAAATATTGTCTTTTCTATTTAAGTCAAAAACCTACAGAAACTAGAGTCTGGTGGTAAGTTACTACTCAATGTCTTTTTCTCTCAGTGTTTTGGAGTGGGTGGGGAGGCATACAGACAAAATGCCAGACCTTAGTAGTTATGGTGACTTGGCAGAGAAGAATCTGGTGTTCTACAATATAACCAAGCCCATGATTTCAAAATTATATCAATTCTCTTTTGCAACTGATGGGTATCATTAATCAGATTACACAACCACTATAGTAAATTTATACTTTCAGGATTATTTCCTCACTTAAACTCAAATAATTCTCAAAGTTCTAGGGACTTGAAGCCTTTAAATGATTTATGAGAATTAAATTTCTAAAACACACACTACTGTTTCAAAACATGCTTTTCTGTAAGGAAAAAAGAAACCATTGTTGAATTTAAAGCGAAACTGTAGTATTTAGCCCTGGCCAGTGTGGCTCAGTAATCAGAGCATTGGCCTGCGCACTGAAGGGTCTCGGTTTTGATTCCTGGTTGAAGGCAAGTACTTGGGTTGCAGGTTTGTTCCCTGTACCCCTACAGGAGGCAATCAATCGATGTGTCTCTCTCACTTTGATGTTTCTCTCTCTCCTCTCTCCCTTCCACTCTCTGAAAATCAATGGAAAAAAAATATCCTCGGGTGAGGATTACCAAAAAACAAACAAAAAATGTACTATTTAAAAGTTCTGTGTTTGTCAGCATTGCACCTCTGTTCACCAGGCTTGGAACAACTCTATTTTTACAGTGTTCGACAAATACAGAAAACAGGAAAATCATTAAAAATTTTTATAGAAGTCTTCCTTTCCTTTCTGTTTATCATTAACACACCAACCTTAGATTTGTTTCTTGAAAAGTATTCCATGTCTCCAATCTCTAGTGATACTGAAGTGGGTGGCTTTTCTCTAGCAAAGGTCAATGACCCATTTAAAAAAACACACTACAGCCCTGGCCAGTTTTGCTCAGTGGGTAGAGTGTCGGCCTGCGGTCCAGAGTGACCCAGGTTCTGTTCCCACTAAGGGCGCATACCTAGGTTGCAGTTTGTCCCCGGCCCTGGTTGGTCGTGCAGGTGGCAGCGACTCAATGTGTCCCTTTCACGTCGATTTTCAATCTCTCTCTCTCTCTCTCTCTCTCTCTCTCTCTCTCTCTCTCTCTCTCCTCCTCTCTCTCCCTCCCACTCTAGCTGAACAAAAAGTGGAAAAATGTCCTCTGGTGAGGATAAATAAAGTGTAAAAAAACACACTACATAATCCCTTAGTGCCAATCAATTTTAATCACAGATATAAGTAGAAAATGTTTTGCTTCTCCATCTAAATAAAAATGGCATTAAATATAACAAAAATATACATTAGTCCAATATTACGATTTGTTCAAGGGAGATGAAATTAAAGTGAGACACGTTTGTATACAAAGAGGCAGAAAACCAAGTAAGAGAAACACAAGAACCATATTTTTGTGGCTAAAGAAAGTAATTTTCTTGAGATAGCATCCCCATATTGAATCATACAGACTTTTAAAGTACATTATATGTTCAAAAGTAGAAGCACCAGTGGAAGAATCACCTCTTGGTACTTGTCCCAAACTAAGGCAATAAATGAAAGAAATCAGAGGGAAAAAGTTGAGAACCAGAGAAAAACTCAGTATGTGACTCTAAATGGGGAAAATTTTTTTTTATTTAAACTTTATCACATTCTATTGACCATCTGGTCCAGTCACTTCTTTCGTAAGCTATTAATTTATTTATTGCACACTAGCTTCAAAACATTCCAGCGCATTAATATCTACCTTTTGTTTCTATCACAATCCTCTTATCTTCAATTTCTGAAACCACATCAAGCAGACAGTGAGAGACGGATCATGAACAGAAAAAAGGCATTACTTGAGAAGAAAATATTGTGAGAAATGGTGCCAAATGTAACTCACTTGTGCTCAAACCTACTCTCCAAATGAAATGTTTAGAATCCTGGATGCCAAACAGTCCTGAAGGCTCCCATTTAAAAAAATAACCAATGGGTGATAAGTTATTAAGTGTCTAAGCTAACTGAGAGGAATAAGTTAAGAGGTCATAGGAAACAGGTCAAAATACTAATTACACCTACTTTTGCAATGTTATAAAAACAAAAATAAGTTTGTCCATATACTAGTCCAACAGATATTACACCGACTAGTTGAAGAATAACCTCATACTTTTTTTTTTTTAATCCTCATCCGAGGACATTTTTTTTCATTTTTTGTTCAGATAGAGTGGGAGGGAGAGAGAGAAAGAGAGAGAGAGAAACATCGACGTGAAAGAGACACATCGACTGGCTGCCACCCGCACAATCAACCAGGGCCGGGGACAAACTACAACCGAGGTACGCGCCCTTAGTGGGAACCGAACCCGGGTCTCTTTGGACCGCAGGCCGACGCTCTAACTGCTGAGCCAAACTGGCCAGGGCTAACCTCATACTTTGATGATAAGAATTTATATCCATAACCTCATGATTCACACTGAGCCTAATTTACTCCATGGGAAAGAAGTTAATCATAAAAATAAGATTTTCAGCACCTACTAATTTGTTATATTTCAAAATTGATCTTTCAGAAGCCATTTTTAAAGAGATTTGCCACTAGGGAAAAGGATTAACAAAGTACAGAAAACATACATGAAGACACCATACAAATCAAAAGAGGTTAATTATACCAATGAAGCTAAAGTTGACACCCTCTCCCCACTCCATTCTTACACAGCAAAAAGAGATGTGCTTAAAACTCTGTGTACTTAGAATAAAATAGAAACTTTACCAGGGCCTTCAAGATCTGACATGGCCTGAGGTCTGGTTCAAATACATTTGCCACTTTCCTGCTTGGCCACTTTCTCACTATGCTCTAATACAATGTTCTCCTTTCAAAATTTTGGCCTTTAGTCCTTCTTGCTTCTGGGCTTTCACCTGTGCTGTTCCTTCTACCTGGACTGATCTCACCCCACCCTCTCCTAGTTAATTCTTACTCTTCCTTCAAAAGCTCAATTAAAATGTTATTTGCTCACGAACCAAACTAAGTCAGGCCCCTCTGTTATTTCATTTCAAGGCACTCTGTAGGTCTTCAAAGAATTTATAACAAATGTAATTAAATAATGAGGTTTAATGTCTCTTGAAGTATGTTAGTTCCATGAGGGCAGGGTCATGTTCACCACACCTGACACATGGTAGGTATTAAATAAGTATCTGTTGATGAGATGAGTAAATGAAGAGACATCTTGTCCAAATGCCTCATTTTGCAGATTAGGAGGCTATAGTCAGGATATGCTAAGTGACTTGCCTAGGGCTGGGACATCAAGAATTCTTATTGTCAGGCCAACGTTCTTTTCACTACAATTAACTCTAAGGCCCCTCCCAGCTCTAACATTCTGTTATCTCAGAAAACTCAATAAAAGCTGCGAAAATATTTTACAGACCAAAGAAACTTTTTTTCCCCTGCTTTAGACAATTCCCTTGCTTTTGTTCTATTTATTTCCCTGCACAACACATTTAAGGGAATTTTACTGTGTCTCTGTTTCTTCCTTCTATTTAATTCAACATACATTAACCAAATAATCTAGTAGGTGAGAAAGATCTGTAAAGAAAGAATTATAATCAATAGGATAAATGCAATGGTGGGATGAACGAGGTACAGAGGAAGTACAGTATAGGTAATAAATTAGCTGTTGTCCAGGAAGTAGTAAAGAAAGAAAACAAAGAGATCACCATCAAGATGGGTTTTGAAGGATGTATAGGAATTTGCCAGGTACAAGCAGCATTCCAGGCAAAAGGAAAAGAATATGTACAGAGGCAATGCATCCATTCAACACATATTCAGTGAGTGCCCACAGGTGCTGGTAACATGCATGGTTCACTGATTTCTACAAATTGTACAGTAGTTCCTTTTGTTTGCAGTTTTGTTCTGCAGTTTCAGTTACCTGTGGTCCCAAAATATTAAATGGACAATTCCAGAAATAAATACTTCATAAGTTTTAAATTATGCACCATTCTGACTAGTGTAATAAAATCTAGTGCCATCCTGTTCCATCCCACCTAGGTTGTGAATCATCCTTTGTCCAACACACACACACTATATACACTACACACCTGGTAGTTACTTAGAAGCCATCTCAGTTATCAGCTGATGTTCAAGTAACATTTATTTTACTTAATAATGGCTCCAAAGAGCAAGAGTAGTGATGCTGGCAATTCTGGTATGTCTAAGAGAAGCTTTAAAGTACTCCCTTTAAGTGAAAAGGTCAAAGTTCTCTACTTAAAGAGGAAAAAAAAATCATATGCTGAGATTGCTAAATTCTAAGATAAGGATGAATCTTCTATCCATGAAATTGTGAAGGAAACAGAAATTCATGCTAGGTGTGGCACCTCAAAATGTGTAAATTACAGCCCCAGTGCCTGATAAGTGCTTAGTTAATAATGAAAGAGGCATTAAATCTGTGGGTGAAAAACATGAACAGAGAAAGACTACATTTACCTAACGTTTATTACATGTACATTGTTATAACTGTTCTATTTTATCATGTTATTGTGGTTAATCTCTTACTGTGCCTAATTTGCAAATTAAACTTTATCACAGGTAAGTAGCTGTAGGAAAATACATGGTACATATAGGGTTAGATATTATCTGAGGTTTCAAGTATCCACTAGGGGTCTGAAAACCTAGCCCGCCATCCTCCACCCCCTATAATGGGGGACTATGGTATTGCTGGTATCGCTAGAGAATAGAGAACAGGGAGAGTGTCTAATAAATGTCCTAGAAATCAAGGTTCAGATCAGAGTATATCTTGCGAAAAGGCCTAAATTTTTTCAATAGCAGCGATTTTCAACCAGTGAGCAGCAAGAATTTTTAAAACATGCAATACCTGACTATTTAGTCAGGGGCACTGATTGCTTTTCCCAGACTGTTAAATAAAATTTTAAAAAAAGGCAACAACCAACACAATACCCACCCAGTGTGAATAAATCAAAATTATACCTATTTTTTGGTCAGATCTGCAAGAAATTTAGTATATATTTTGTTGTGCTGCAGAGTTTTGGTAATTAGTCTGTGTGTGCCCTGAGATGAGAAAGGTTAAAAATCACTGATCTAACCCTGGCAGGGTGCTCAGTTGGTTGGAGCGTCCTCCCATAGTCAAGGCTGCTGGCGATCTCCGAATCTCGGGTGGGACACGTCCAAGCAACCAATGAATGCATAAAATGGGTGAACAACAAATCGATGTCTCTCTCTAAATCAAACTTTTTTTTTTTAAATCGCTGGAAAACCATCAAAGACTACAGAGCGTGAAAGTAACAACATGTACATTTGTCTGAGTAGCTATCAGTTTGTATCACTCCCCCAAACCCAATAGACAGAAAACTTGCCTCGAAAATCTGCACACGGGAAACATATCAAAAGCTGTCACACACTATCTTATTAGATTCGCTGAGCTGGTACCGGGTGGTACCCACTGCCAAGGAGTTAAAGGAAGAGCCTGGAAGAAGGCATTTAAGTGACAACTAAACGGTCCAAGACCAGGCCCAGCGCCCAGGGGCTCCGGGACACCGATCCAGGCCTCCCTCCTCTCCGGCGGGGACCCGCTTACCTCCGCAAGTTCTCGATCTCGGCCGGGATGGTCTGCAGCTGGTTGCCCCCCAGGCTGAGGGTCTGCAGCGCGCGGAGCTCCAGCACCGAGGCGGGCACCACTTGGAAGCAGTTCCCGCTGAGGTTGAGCACTTGAAGGCTGCGAGAAAGAGGCGACTGGGCCAGACCCTTGGGCAGCGCGCCGGGCCCGCCGAGCCGGTTGTTCTTGGCCAGCAGCGTGCGCAAGCAGCGCAGCGCCAGCAGCTCGGGCCCGAGCGCCGTCAACGCGTTGCCGCTCACGTCCAACAGCTGGAGGTGCGGGAAGCCGCTACCCAGGGCCCGCGGCAGCGACACCAGACGGTTGTGCGGCAGCAGCAGCCGCAGCAGCGCCTCCCGCGCGCCGCGCCGCTCCTCGCCTCGCAACTCCAGCTCCGACTCCAGCGTCTCGGGGGACACACTGAGGCGGGACAAGTTCAGCTCGGCCTCCCCGGCCGCGGTCACCGCCGCTCCAGCTTCCTCCATCCCGGCCGCCGCAGGGCGCGCGGCTCCGGAACCCGGAGAGCTCCGCGGCGCCCCGGAACCTGAAGCGAGGCCTGCGTTGGAGGTGGCGGGGGCGGGCGCTAACTCCGCGCGTCCACGCCCAGTCGCACACGTGAGGCGGCGGGTGCGCGCGCACCGCCCAGGGGCCTGGCTTCGTCTCACGTGGCGCGCGGCGCGCGGCGCGGCGTCGGGAGCTGCTGGGGGCAGGGAACTGGGGGCGGCCACGTTGGTGTCTGAGTCCTGCGGCTTTGGGCCGCTGCGCTTTATCTAGTCCCCATCTGGTGACCTGTCCCTGGAGTCCAGGGCCGCCTCTGTAAACAGCCCGAGGACTGTTTGGCTATCTGGCATTTGCTGCTAGTCCCCAGTTAGGAGTGCGGCCCCTAGTTTGCAAGATTCAGTGAGAACTCAGGAATTTGGTGATGATTCAGCCCATTACAGCAAGTCCAGGAATGTAAGGTCTGGGGATTAACCAAGCTGATTTCAAAATGCGGAGCTAGCTGGACTAGAGATCAGAACCCCTAGCTTTTGTCTCGGGTTCTCCTGTTAAACAGCTTTGTGTCCTTGGACGTGGAATTTGATTTGTTTCTCTATACGTAAAATATGGATAACATTTATCCTGCCTGTCCTTCATACAGGGTGTTTTTTTTTTTTAAGCCTGATAAAAGTAATGTATATCAAGTAGGACTGTTTTGGCTATAGAAGCACTTCTGTGGTTTTGGGTTTAAGTTGTAGTGGCTAGAAATGAAAGTCATGGAGGAGGTTCATTAATTTGAGATAGCTCAAACTAATTGATCAAATTAAGAACTCACAAAGTATTGAGATTTTATTGCAGGTTAAAACTACAATTTAACTGGGAAAATCTTGACTCTGGCTTTAATTGGACACTTCTAAGTAACATATTTTCTCTTGCCCTAAGCTTGTCTTTTCTGAAATTACTTTTTATTATTTTGAAGACATGAATAGAAGTGAGGAAAATATTTAGCATTCTTTTACAAACCTAATGCATTACAGTGTTGAAGTTGTTTATAGTCAATGACATTAGATTGCTTTCCTTCTAACAAAGAATAAACAGTGTTTCTTGCCAGTCTTTTGTGTGAGAAGCTTTATGTCTCTTACCTACTGCCAAACTTTAATTTCTAGTTGAGTTATACTTGTGGGAGGATATACTTTGTCAGTTTAAACCAGGGATAGAATGTTTTTAAAACTGATACTGTCCTGATTTTGAAACCTATTTTGAAAGGATCCTTTTAAAAATTAGACCTTGTTTTGGATCAAGATCACATTCTGGCAGGAACCCTAATATGTGAAAATTACAAATATTTAAAATAATACAGTTTTATGCTTTAAAAAAATGTATATATGTGATAAAAATAAAGTGACAGGAATGTAATATAAAATGCAAAAAAATACTAATGTGATTCAGAAATAGAGTTAAGATTACAAATCTGTGACATTAAAGGGGAAAGGTGGAAATAGCCTCAATAATAGAAAATGAAGCTACCTGATAGAAAGTTTTTTTTTTGTTTGTTTGTTTGTTTTTTTATCCTCACCCGAGGACATTTTTCCATTTTTTGCACAGACAGAGTGGGAGGGAGAGAGAGGAAGAGAGAGAGAGGGAAACATTGATGTGAAAGGGACACATCGAGTGGCTGCCACCAGCACGACCAAGCAGGGCCAGGGACAAACTGCAACCGAGGTACGTGCCCTTAGCGGGAACCGAACCCGGGTCTCTCTGGACCGCAGGTTGACGCTCTAACCGGCCAGGGCCTGATAGAAAGTTTTGAAGAAATGTTTAGATTAATGTGAGAACCCATTTATTGCTCATTATAATAACACCCTCTCTATCTCAGCTACCATGGATACATCCCTCTTTCTTGTGGCCACATGGGTCAAAATTAAGCAGCATCCCCAATACTATAGTGGCCTTGAAATTATCCAGTTAGGCTGGAGAAGTTTGAATAACCCCTGGGAGGTAAAAGGGCTTTGGTGGCTTGCAGACCTTCATAATGATGGGGTCTGTCTTGTGGGTAGCAGAAGGAGATGCCAGAGAAGCAATGAGGCCACTGGAGAATATGAAGAGGAAAGGAGACAATATAATGAATTATTTAGGGAAAGGGTTGGATTTCAAGGGAATGGGTAAGTACATGATATATTTGTTCACTTATCAAAACTATACCACTAAGCTACTGTTGGGTCAAACTGACTATATTACAAAATAAGCCTTTAAAAAAATTTTTTTTTCTTTATTAATTTGAGAGAGAGAGAAAGATAGAAACATCAATTGGCCACCTCCTGTATGCCCCCCGCCCCACCGGGGATTTGGCCCACAATCTGGGCATGTGTCTTGACCAGGAATCGAACTGGGGACCTCCTGGTACGTGGGTCTATACTCAACCACTGAGCCACACCGGCCGGGCCACAATCTCACTTTTATCCTTAGCTCAAGGTGGCATAAAATATAAACATAGCAATGTTAAATATTGCTGGAAATCAAAGAAATGCAAAATAAAATACCAAAATGGGATGTTTTTAATAAGTTGAATTAACAGAAATTTTAAAATGGCTGTTTCCGTTTCCAGCGCTGTGGAGTCCTGGTCAAAAATGGCGGCAGTGGCTGGGTCCTGGGATTCTAGGCTCCTAGGTGGGTTCTGGCCACAGCTGGTGCAGCCTATGTCAAATGGTGCCCAGGGTGAGGAGAGCTCAGCTCACATGTGGAAGGCCCTCACCTACTTCATGACACTCCCAGGGGTGGGAGTGAGCAAGCTGAACGTCTTTCTGAAGTCACACCACTGAGAGCAGGAGACACCCAAGTTCATTGCCTACCCCTATCTCTGTATCGGGTCCAAGCCCTTTCCCTGGGGAGATGGTAACCATACTCTATTCCATAATCCTCATCTGAATCCACTTCCAACCAGCTATAAAGGTGAATATACAGAATCTGGACCACTACCCAACGGGGACCACAGCACTGGTTTGGACCATTACTCTGCAGACGGACCAGAAATGTGTATGGGACCTTAAGCTGACCTTCTTTCCTAGTATAAAATGATGACTAGAACATACTGATGTTCTGTCTCTTTTCTTATGGCAGGAGATGACTTAGATAAATAACTTAGATTGGTCACAGAGGCAAAAAAAATAAAAGAAATTAAAAAATGGCAGAAAGGCTGCAGAGAAGCAGGCACTCTCACAATCTGCTGACGGTAGAAGAAAGTGCTGCAAACTTTCTAGAAGGCAATTTAGGTCAAAACTATGAATCCCCTTTCAAATAGCAATTGCATCTCTGTGAATTTACTTTAAAAATAACATTGGATAAGTGTACAAAGATGTAAATACAAGATTATTGTTGAAACTCAGTTTACAATATCTAGAAATAAAAAACCACCTAAAAGCCCATCCAGAGAGAGATGGATCCATTATGGAAATAAATGATGTAGGTCTAAACTTATTGACACAGAAAACATTACTGTGTATAGTATGGTCTCATTTTTGTGGAGGGGGGAATAAAATGTCTAAGTAGGTGTACACATAATAGAAACTGGAAATACGTGCCTCAGAGCATTGGGCACACAAGGAGGGGTATGATGGGCATAGTCTTCTCTGAAGCATAAAATAATGGAATTAAATGGTCTATAGTATATTGATGAACAATAATAAAATCCACTAAAATCAGTCTGCTTTTTAGTATCACCATCTCTAGCAATTCTAAACAACAACAAAAAAATATGGTATATAAGCCTGCATTGCCTTTGGGTCCCTGATTCTTATGGACTCCCTCCCCCCAAAGCTCCTGTATGTACGTATGTCATAAATTTTGTTATTCCTTCCTGTTAATATATCTCATGTCAATTTATTATTGGACTATCCAAAAGAACTTAAGAGTAGAAGGAAAATTATTTTTCCTTATAGCTATTTTTATCCATTTGGAAAGCATCACTATAACTTCCCAGATACACTTGTATATTTTCTAGTTGCATCTCTTCCACTGTTGGCTTTGCCCCAGCAACATCCAGAAAGACCCAGTGACAGTTGCTTGTGAAGTTGTCACTGACCCGTCAAATATCGTCTTAAGGCAGACTCTGATCCAAATGAATGTAAATATAACTCACCTAGAGAAACGGATTTGTATGTTAGATAAATCGAATTCCAGGTTTATATAGCAAATCAAACACATCTTTATAGGATCAGCCTGAGGGACCTTGACTCAGTGGGCACCTCACAAGGAATGCTGAGGTGCTGGATGTCTCTCTCTGCTAAGGGTATATCTGGTAGGTGTGGAATCTGGAGGTGGTGTCTGGGGAACCTTCCTGGGATCTAGCAGGGAGTGGCTGGGTTATGCTGACCCATACTCTTTTTTGGCTAAGGCAAATTTTTACCTTTCTTTTTGTTCTTACAGAATGTCTTTCTTTTGTTGACTGTCAACATACTTCTTGTTCATGATGCAGGTGAGTTGCTTTTCAAAAACAACTTTGTGGGTATGTCTAAAACAGCTTTGGAGATAGTGAAGAAAATAGTGGTTTGGAGATTCTTTTTAAAAAATCAAGTGATTTAATCTGACCTTCAGTCTTTTCATTTGTTTTATGCGGATAATGCTGCATTTGTTTCATAGGAAATAGTGATGAACAGATGGGAAAATGTAACAGGCACCAATCGTAAAGCATTATTGTTTACTGTAATTTCATTTTTTAATAAGAAAAACCTCCCCACACCCCCATTTTGGTTTGTCCATTTGAGGCCATATCTGGATAATTACACTTATTCACACCTATAATTTGAACTCCCCCAACGAAAAACAAATCTAGACTTCCCCCAACTCTTACATGTTAGGTGACTCTGACAAGTACTGATTTAGAGTATAGTATCACAGAATATTTGAAGTTAGGTCTGTCCTGAAAAATCTGGATGGGCAGTCAACACAGTATGGTTCTTGGCTTTTTGTTTTTTATAACTCTGTACTCAATGCTTCAAAAATGTTGGGACGAACAGTATATACATGTTGAAATATTAATGTAATTCAGCTAACTCAAAGTATATATGCAACAATG